AAAAAAAAAAAAAAAAAAACAAAAAAAAAACAAAAGGGTGCCACCTGTGGCTCAAAGGAGTGGGATGCCGGCCCCATGTGCTGGAGATGGTGGGTTCAAACAAAACAAACAAACAAACAAGCAACAAATCGCACACACAAACAAAAATACCCCCCCAAACCCACTTTTCATTGACTTTTCTCAAGACCTGGACAAAACCCAAAGGAAACCCCATAACAAACTGGCAAGGTGATCCCAACCACACCTTCCTGAGAGTGTGGTTCAGAGAATGAGCACTTGCTCCAGGGCTGCAAGCAGAAGGTGAATTTAGACAAGAGCTGAGATCACCCCGGGGGAGGGTGTGAGCAGGAAGCTCTGCCTTTTAGTGGACTTTTCATTCTACACTCCCAGCAGGAATGGAAGGGCCTGCTACGGGAAGTGTGTGTGGGTTTGGGGGCAGCCAGGAGGAAACGAGGCCTGTGGAGGAATGACGGGGTGCATGAGAGATATGCCAAGTGCGGTGCCTGCCTTGCATTTTCTGGCACAGCTGATTTAGCTTTGCCAGCCAAGTTTCTTTAACCTGCTGTAAGATTATGCCTAAAATCATAGCTCATGAAAATACTGCCTAAAGGAAATGGTGCACTCATTTTAGATGCTGAATTACGAGTATTGCGTACTTGTATATTTGAACTCATAGGTTAGCTACAGAGACATGGATAAGTGTGTTAACCTTTAAATATTACCCTTCTCCCCAAGAGTATGAGTTAGCCTAAAAGAATAAATAGAAGCAGAGTAGTGGAATGGTAAAATGAAAATGGGAAATTAGAATCAATGCAGAGAGGATAAGAAGAGAAATTCAAGTTTGTATTTATTCTATTATCTATTTTCTTGCAAAACTCTACAATCTTACACCAGTAAACCTCTTTTAGAGTCAATAAAAGCTACCTTCTTTTACTTTCTGATGTTAATCCTGGTCAGTTGATGGGTTTCCTTTAGGGTTTGCTTAAGAGGGAGGATGCTCACAGGTGCAGAGAGGCCAGGGACACCCCAGGAAGGGCAGGTGTGGCTCTCTCCTCACCACACCCCACTCCAGCTGCTGATACAGAACAAGTGTTTAACCTCTTTGAGCGTCAGTTTCCCCACCTGAGGATGGGATTATTGTGCAAATTAAATAGGATCACACAGCAGGCACTGGCTCTGTCATTGTTTACTGCCTCACCTCAACCTCAAAGGAGTGAACTTTAAACAATTCTTTATCACTCGGCTAAAATAAATTGTTGACTTTAGTTTGCTCAGGCTTCCATTACAGATCGTCCCAGACTAGGTGGACGAAACTGCGAAATGTGTTTTCTCCCAGTTCTTGACACCACAAGTCTGAGATCAAGGTGCCAGCGGGGTTGGTTTTTCCTGACGCCTCATCCTGGATGTCAGACGGCCACCTTCTCACCTCCACAGCCTTCCCTCTGCGCATGCACCTGCCCCCGTCTAAGTTTCCTCTTCTAATCAGGGTACCAGTCAGACTGGGTTAGGACCCAGCCAGACGGCCTCGTTTTTCCTTACTCCTTTAGAGAGCCTGTCTCCAAATACAGTCCCGGTCTGAGGTCCCGGGGTTAGGGCTTCAGCGTGTGAATTTTAGGGAACATAGTTAAGCCCATATCATTAGAGATTAACAGAAATCCTCCAAGACCCTTCTGAGTCTTGAGGAAAATGCCCCTTATTTTACATACAAATACAAATCTCTCTGTTCAAGTGCTTACGAACAGAATGTGTGGCTGGCCTTAGACACTAATGCCCTGGGCCATGTCCTGCTAGGCAGGACAGGCAGGGAGGAGTCCACGAGAGGCTGCCTGCAAAGCAGCTCTCGCCTGGCCAAGTGTTTGCTAAGCACTTGGAAACAGGCTGACCTTCCCACAGAAAGTAGACCTGGCGCGTGAAACCTAGTGAGGAGTTGACGTGGCCAGCGCAAGTGTTAGTTTTCTCCTGTGCAAAGGAGAGTGAACTTTCCCACTTCAGATTTGTCTTTTAAGAGAAATATGGACACAAAGTAATAAGTCTTCCAACAATTTAGATGCTGACTCCTTTGCTATGTTTGAGTTTTATTTGGGCCTTTCTCTTGGTTATAGGGAAGTGCCAGTGAAGCCACGCTGGTGGCCTTGCTGGCTGCTCGAACCAAAGTGATCCGCCAGGTGCAGGCGGCCTCGCCAGAGCTGACACCGGCCGCCATCATGGAGAAGCTGGTGGCCTACGCCTCTGATCAGGTGAGGATATTGAGGGGTGTTGCTCCTATGTCCCACCAAGAGTTCAAGATCTAAATGTTTTGTTTTATGCCAAACCCAAAGAATACAAAACCATAGGGCACTCTTTGAAATCCAAGAACAGTTCTTAGGTACCACTTAAGGTGGTACCTTAGTGGGGTCCTGAGTCCTGTCAGGGGGTGTCCAACCTGTGGCCCAAGGGCCAAGTATGGATTATGTGAGGACTGTTTTGCTTATCTATGGTGGCAAAAATTATGCACAGACCTTTTATTTATTTATTTGTTTTTGTCTCATCAGCTTTCATTAGTGTTTGTGTGTTTACCGTATGGCCCAAGACAATCCTTCTTCCAATGTGGCTCAGAGAAGCTGGAAGTTTAGACACCCCTGAAAGAAACTAATATATAGGGGCGTCCCTAAGACTGGCTCTGTTCCCATTTCTTTCAGCATGGAGCTGTGTTGTGACCATCTGAGATTTTCGGTTCTGTGATCCAGGCCCATTGGTAGGGGAGATTTTGGATGCAGGGTGGGCAGGGGTGGCTTTCAGGAGACAGGACTTTCCGCGAAGCCCCGAGAGAGGCTCCATCTGCCGTGTAGGAGTGGTGTCTCCTTGTTCGTTTCTTTTTCTCCAGAGACTGTTTACTGAGTGTGGCCACTAAGCTGCCCAGGGCCCCTCAGGGGGGGCCAAAGCCCAAATTTGAGCCTGAGATTTCTTTTTTTTTTTAATTGAATTTTGAATTAAAATCATAACTGTGTACATTTATAGGGTACAATGTGATGATTTGATATACAATGTGGAATGCTTAAATCAAACTGACTAACATAACCATCACCTCACTTATTTTTTGTGGTGAGACATTTAAGATTTACTCTTAGTTGTTTTGGAACATACTCTTGCACTGTGCACATTAGATGAGATTTCTAAGTCCACCCCCAAGGTGTAATTTCCAGAGTTTCACTTGCTCCTGAATTAGGGTGACCAGATTTTAACATCGGTAAGGCGGGACAACATGGCCCGGGGGTGGGGCAGGGACAGGGCAGGGCAGGGCCTGACAACAAGGCAAACTTTGATAAACAGTTCTCAATAATCACTTCTCAGCAATTATTTGTTATTATTACAGTTTAACATTATAAAATTAACAAAAATAATATAAAACTCATATTATGGCGAAATAGCCACATGGCAGCCAAAAACCATATATTCCCTTCCCGTTCTCCCGCCCATTAGTGCATTCTTTCCAAAAACCGGGACTTTTTTTGAAACACCACAGGACTCGGGACAAATTGTTGAAAAGCAGGACTGTCCCGCCAAAAGCAGGACGTCTGGTCACCCTATCCTGAATTCAAACAAACAAATGAAAAACTCACCAATATTGACCCAGCTCTTTACTCTTATTGTCCCTGATTCATTAGACTTAAAAGCAAGATTTTGTACCAATAGGAACAATTCCAGGGAAAAAGGGATCTTCAGGAGCGGGTAGGGAGAGAGATGAGAGCAGTTTGTGCCAGCAGTGTGAGAGGCGCCTTTGTGGGAAGCCTCGCACCTCTGCAGACACAGGGGCCCAGGGCGGTGTGCGCACATGCCCTCACATACCCACCCAGACACAGGGGCCCACCATGGTATGCGCACACGCCCACACAAACCCACAAACACCTGCACCCCCACCCACACAACTGCACATCCCACACACACACCTGCACACCCCACACACACAACTG